CGCCCCGCGGTTCCCCCAGTGACGTCCCCTTAGCTTTGCGTTGCTTATCTCATCTTAGCTTAGCTTATTTCATCTTAGCTTAGCTTAGCTTCATCTTAGCTCAGGTTTATCTTAGCTTAGCTTACCTTCATCTTAGCTTCGCTGAGCTTTAGCATGGGTGTAATTCCCTACCTAGGCTCTGCCTTGAGGGTTAGCTTAGCTTAGCTTAGCATAGCGCAGCGCTGCATTAGCATAGCATAGCATAGCATAACATAGCCAAACATAGCATAGCATAGCATAGCATAGCATAGCGCAGCATAGCATAGCATAGCATAGCATAGCATAGCATAGCGCAGCTTAGCATAGCATAGCATAGCATAGCATAGCATAGCACAGCTTAGCATAGCACAGCGCAGCATGACATAGCATAGCTTAGCATAGCATAGCATAGCATAGCATAGCGCAGCATAGCATAGCATAGCATAGCATAGCATAGCATAGCATAGCATAGCATAGCAACTAAGGCTGCTTTCCTAGGGACTCCAACTTCTAGGTAGGGTCGCACTGGGCTAATTAATAGTATCCCTCTCCCTCTTACTCCCTCTCCCCCTTCTCCTCCTCCTCCCTCCCCTCATCATCATCATCAGCATCATCATCATCATCATCAACAGCATCATCATCATCATCATCATCATCATCATCATCATCATCATCATCATCATCATCATCATCATCATCATCATCATCATCATCATCATCATCATCATCATCATCATCATCATCATCATCATCATCATCATCATCATCATCATCATCCCCCCCCTGCTCCTTCTCCTCCTCATCCTCCTCCTCCACCACCTCCTCCCCCCCCTCCCCTCCTCCTCCTCCGATTCCTCCTCCTCCGCCTCCTCCTCTGCCACAGCATCATCATCATCATCATCATCATCGTCATCATCATCATCATCATCATCATCATCATCATCAGCATCATCATCAGCAGCATCAGCATCAGCATCAGCATCATCGTCATTAGGACGCACACAGACATACTAATACTATATGTCCGCCTTGGAGGCGCGCGTCCGACCCGACATAGAGTATACCCATCTTGTAGTAAATCGTTTCCGGAGCGGTGTGGCCGCAAAGCGCCTGCCACGACGCATATACTGTAAGATTTCACGGTGCGCGCGTCGCCCCTGGGGGGGGCGACGCACACATAGTATAAGTGTGTTGGGGTGACGCCGAATCATCATCATCATCATCATCATCATCATCATCATCATCATCATCATCATCATCATCATCATCAGCATCAGCATCAGCATCATCATCATCATCATCATCATCAGCATCATCATCATCATCATCATCAGCATCATCATCATCAGCAGCATCAACAACACCATCAACATCAACATCATCATCATCGTCATCAGCATCGTCATCATCATCACCATCAAGATCGTCATCATCATCAGCATCAGCATCATCATCATCAGCATCATCATCATCATCAGCATCATCAGCATCGTCATCATCATCAACAACAACATCAACATCAACATCATTATCATCGTCATCAGCATCGTCATCATCATCACCATCAAGATCGTCATCATCATCAGCATCAGCATCATCATCATCAGCATCAGCCTCAGCATCAGCATCATCACTTTTATCATCATCATACTCATCATTAGCAGCATCATCATCACCATCACTATCATCGTCATAAGCATCATCCGCAGCATCATCACCATCTCAGCATCAGCAGCATTAGCATCATCATCATCATCATCATCAGCAGCAGCAGCATCATCATCACCATCATCATCATCATCACCACCACCATCATCGCCATCGCCATCATCAGAATCAGCATCAGCATCAGCATCAGCATCAGCATCATTATGATCAACCTCATCATCATCATGAGCATCAACCTCATCCCCATCATCAGCATCAGCATCAGCATCAGCATCATCATCATTATTATCATCCTACGCATCATCATCATCAACATCATCAGCATAATCAGCATCGTCATCATCATCATCATCATCATCATCATCATCAGCAGCAGCAGCATCATCAGCATCAACACCAGCCTCATCATCGTCATCATCATCAGCATCATCACTGTTATCATCGTCATCATCATCAGCAGCAGCATCACCAGCATATTATCGTCGTCGTCGCGGACATCATGATCATCCGTATCCTCAGCATCATCATCAGCAGCATCATCATAATCATTGTCAGCATCAGCATCGTCATCGTCAACATCATCATCATAATCATCAGCAGCATCATGCGCATCATCATCGTCAACACCAACATCACCATCGTCGTCATCACCAGAAGCGTCACCGTCATCTTCATCGTCGCTGTCGTCGTCCTGATCATGAGTCTGATCATCATCAGCAGCAGCAGCATCAGCATCAGAATCAGCATCAGCATCATTAGCGTCAGCATCATGAGCATCATCATGTTGTCGTCGTCCACAGCATCAGCAACAGCA